TTATTATAGTACATGAACTCTGCAGACAATTAAGAACAATGTCCACAACTTATTATCGTAGATGTATCCTGCAGAGGTTAATTGCAATGTGCAGACGTTAATAGTACACTGCCTAACCTAGTACATGTATCATTCAATAGTAAGACTACTCTATAAACTGCCGACAGTTATGGGCTATTGTTGATGGCTGATTGATGAACCCTCTGAACTATATACGATCCAGCTTCGGACTAGAACAGCACAATTCGCCAACATCAGAATTAGTAACGATCACGACCTGTGTTTTAGGGCAAAACGAATATTGAACTTTCGAACAAAGTTAACTTTAGAGACACTTTGAAAACATTCGAACATTTGAACTTTAGAAACATTCTTGACATTGTAATTACATAATAAATTTCATTTATTTATTTACTGACTTCGTTATATCAATAGTGTCATCTCTTTTTGTAAAATTCAGCAAAAGAATGGGTTGTTTGTTATTTAAAATCATCTTTGATAAGTAATTTTTAGTCTTTGGAAAGACATATACACTTTTCTATCGACTATCGACTATCAAACTTAACACGTATTCACAACTCGAATAATCTTATACTTAGTCTATTTATAGTTGATGTTTGGTTACAATTCTACCCCTTTTTTATTTTCTATTCGTATGTAACAGTGAAGATAATTAATCACCCAATTCATTTCTAAGATTTTAGTTTAAAGCTACTTTATGTACACTATTTATTTGTTTTACAGTTTGATTTAGAAATAATACCGACACAGCTAGATAATACAATTAGTTATCTAATTACTAACACAATTCTATATTTAAGGTCTTTCCTTTCTAAATGGAAAGACCTTACTGTTATTCGTATGTTTATTATTCTTTTTTACTCGTCCGTTTTCAAAGTCAAAAATCAAAAAAAGTACGCCACATATCCAAATGATCTTTGGTACCAGGTATCAAGTTGCATTAGGAAAACCAAAGTGTACTATTTACCTTATAGGAGTTATCTCCCGAATTAAAAAAAAACATTGTTATCGCTACTTTTCATAAAATATAAGAGTTAGCGGCAAATGTTTTTTTTTAAATGTTCCTTGCCACATGTTGCAACTTTGAATAATTTTAACCGAAGCGATCCAGTGACCTCTTATAGGAGTTATTTCCCCTTGAATATTTTACTTTTCGGTATGCATCTCATAAACTGTAAGTTGTAAAGACCTAGGGTCTTTTGATTTGAGATCATTGGACCATAACTTGAAAATGTAGGTCAAGGTCAAAGGTCAAGGTCATATTTTAGATTTTGACATTTCTTTGATTTCCCTATAATTCCCAAATGGTTATTAATACAGAAAATTTAAATAGTGAAAAATGTTTGGTACTTCAAGGAGCAACTTTGTTGAATTATAACTCTATTGATTTTACCATTATGCAAGGGACATAACCCCCATTGACGGTTTACTAAGAGACATTATTAGGCAAATCTCTTTAACCAAAGGTTCTAGACCCATAAGGTCTTTTGCAATGGCATTGTGGACCAATGACCTTGACCAAGGTTACAAGGTCAAAGGTCAAGGTCATGTCAAAAAAGGCAAATTATGTGTTTTTGATCCTATTTAAAGGGTTTTATGTGTGTTTTAATGCTTTTGTAGGTTGACATTAACCTTTGACTTTAATACTTGTTAAGGGATATCTCAGGAATCCTTATACTTACAGGAATCGTAAATAGTGAAAAATATTTGGGTCATTTAGGCGCAACTTTTTTTAAATTTGGACCGAAGAAATATAACCTTTCTGTAAGGGGCATAACCTCCTTAAACGGTTTCTGAAAGACCAAATTAGATTTAACTCTTAAGCCTCAGTTGCAGGGGTTCAAAAAATGTAAACAACTTGGGGACCCATGGTGTAAGGGAGTGTTACATGATTTAAGCGTTAGTCATAGATATACAACTAAATTCCACCTATCAAGTGACAACACCAGTATGTTGGTGCGACAAGTGTATGGCAGTATATTTATTACAGTATATTTAAAAAAAAAAATGGAAGGAAAGACCTCTCAATTATTCAAGAAGAATTAAACTTTAATAATATTCTTGTAATTGTTATAAAATACATCAAATGACATAGTTACAAACCTGATCTTGAACAGTATCAAAAAAATTTAGAAATTTACCTGTGACGTCACTTTTGTGGCGTTGACCCAGTTCGTGGTTCTGTTGTGCTGTTTTGTGTGCTGTCCTATGTTGTTTTACGTGTTCGTTTTTATTCTGTGGTTAGCATGTCGAAATGTACTATTGTATTGTTTATTTGTGTATTTCTCTGTCCTGAATGTTCTTGCATTTATTTGTACTGTATTCCTGTCATGTAATGGTGTCATTTTAGTGTTATATTTAACATTGCCATAAAAGTGCGAGGTTTGGCTAGCCACAAAACCAGGTTCAACCCACCATTTTTGCCTTAAAATGTCCTGTCGCAAGTCAGGGAAATGGCAGTTGTTATCTTATAGTTCGTTTCTATGTGTCTTGCATTGTCGTTTGTTTTTTGTACACTTCAGTGTTTCTGTTGTTTTGTTGTTTTCCTCTTATAATTGATGTGTTTCCCTCGGTTTTAGTTTGTAACCCGGATTTGTTTTTGTCTCAATCGATTTATGACTTTCGAACAGTGGTACACTACTGTTGCCTTTATGCTTGGAGTACCTTAAGTTTTACTTGTGGAAGTCAGGCAACACTATTCTACAATCTGTCATTACAGAATTATTATATAAACATTAATTAGAACCATTGTTGTCGAGTTTTAGTGCCCTATTTTTAATTTTCCTTTTTGAAAGATGGTGTTTTAGAGGGGTTTGTTTTGTCCCAATTTACAGTTTGTATATTTTCTATCTCGTCCGGTATGGTCGCGTTTAAAACTTCAATGAACGTAATATATGCATAGCTGATGAATTATTAAGTCAGGGAAATGTGGGAAACATTATTTTGTATTTGTTGTTTTTGGCTTTAAACTAGCTTTCATAAACTGCGAGTACTCTTAGATCGGTACATTTTGTCTTTTTTTTTCATGTTAGTAGTAGTTGTTTTTTGTTCTTTGTGTCGAACTGATGAGTCAAACCACTCCCAACTGATTTGTTTGTTTGTTCTAATGTTTCGCTGTAACATCATTGTCTCATTTTAGGGGAGTGTTGCGTTCACAAAAAAAAAATTTAGAAAGGGTTTTAAGTAGTTTTGGGCCACGAAATCCTTGACTCAATAAATTTCCAGTGATACACATGTTAAATTTATTTAAATCTACATGTATTATGTCATAACAGACACAGGCATAGCTAACGATATATAAAGACCGTAAGAAAAAGCCATAGAAAAATATCCTGCCACGTCCGATCTGTGTATTTGTTTGATTGTTCTGCTTCGTATCGATCTGATGGGTAAGCCTTTTCAACTGATTTTTATAGTTTGTTCTTATGTTGTGATGTTTTACCATTGTCCCAGGTTAGGGGAGGATTAAGCGCCCACACACATGTGTAACCCCGCCACATTCTTTATGTACCTGTTCCAGTTTAGGAGCCTGTAGTTCAGTGGTTGTCGTTGATTTATGTCGGTCATATTTGGTTTTCGTAAATTGTTTTGTTATAAATTTGGCCGTTATTTTCTCAATTGAATTGTTTCATATTTTTATGTCGGAGCCGTTTAGAGCCGATTATACGGTATGGGTTTTTCTCATTGTTGAAGGCCGTACGATTGCCTATAATTGCTTACATCCACTTTCACTTCATTTGAACTTTGGTGGATAGTTGTCTCATTGGCAATCATACCTCATCTCCTTATTTTTATAAAGGAACATTACTGTCCAAAAACCCGAAAACATACAATTTTGAAAGACTAATTCTACCATTTATTGTAACTTTCAATACTTCTTATAATTCAAAGTTAGGTGACTATTTTGAACGCATCTGTTCTATCGAACCTTGACTTACTTCTAAAAATTGACAATGACGGTCGGTTGAGAACAAAACTTTACGACAAAGGAAATGATGTTCAGCCTCCAAATTATGAACTTTCCATTTCTATGTAGCAACAAACCTGTAGCTCCTGCATATGGAGTTTATATCTCCCAGTTGATACCATATTCAAGCGCCTGCATTTCCTACCAAAATTTCCTTGATAGAAGGTTGCTGCTTAAAGAAAGCTATTGAACTAATAGTTCCAAGTGGTGAAGCTGAAATCATCCCTTCGAACATTTTACGGACGCAATCACGAGTTGGTTGACCGTTATGTAATATCTGTTTCAAAGATGACGATCATATAGCTCTTCAACGGTTTCGGTTCTTATACATCCTTGTCTTTCAAATATTTGGCATTGAGCGTTTCTAATGAAGGTTAATCCAGAAAAGCGCTTCGGACGCCTGAAGTTTATAACGTGTTGTTTTCATTTTTTATATGTTCCAATCGTTGTAACCACAATCCTGTTCCCTTTTACTTTAGTGTAATCTAACGAATTAGTCCACCCCCGGTTTATGGTTGGGTCAATGTTACAAGATCTTTAGTTTTCTATGTTGTGTTCTGTGTACTGTTGTTTGTCTTTTCGTCGTTTTTCGTTTTTTACCATGGCATCGTCAATTTGTTTTCAACATATGAGTTTAAATATCTCTTTTTCGCCTCTCTTTTAGTAAAGTGTTTCCCGTGTGAACCTGAAGTATATCATCTGAGAAAAGGGCAGCTATTGCTAAGGTGTTGTGGAATTTTTATCAAGTGAATGACATTTTGTCGGATCTTTACAAATTTGGCCATAAACTGTGATTCATAACAATATAGGATCACGTCTGCTATCAAAGGGGTGCAATAAGTACTTATATGATATGAAGACCTAAAACTTGGATTATTGTTTCATTTGCAATCATACCAAATCTCCGTATTTCATATGAATGTAACTTGAATAAGAAACAAAGAGGAACACATTTGTAAATTGTCCATGAGAAAGAAAGAAGGAACTAAAATACGTGACGGGTATATTCACCATTTGAGTAGACTCATAAATACATGAATGTGAGATCATGTAATTAATATTATGTTAATGAGTACAAGAAAGAATTATGAGGAACAGGCATAACATAATGGCAGTAATCCCAGTCCAAATTGTTCATAACATGTTAAAACCTTTTGGATATGCTTTTAAATGTTTTCTTTGATTCATACGTAATCACATTAACATTAGAAGTAGTTATCTACATTCTAATTTTATTGGATGCAGAGGTTATAGTTGAAATTCAGCACCTGATGAAATAGTATGAATATCTCGTACACTTAATACTGGTTATTAATAACCCTGCCGATATTTTATCACAAACTATACATATCAACTAACACGAATGGATATACACTAACTACTCCTTTTGTAAGCATTCATTGAACTTTGCTAAAACTGATTTAACACGACTACTGTTCTGGACGTTCCATATTCTGAAGAACTTTGACAGTCAATCCACTTTTTTCTTTTGCAGTGTAAAGGTCGTAAAACATTCGTTATACCTTAAATAGAATTATTAAGTGTTTAAGTTGACCAATATATAAACATAAGTATAATACACATAAACTGCTAACAATGGACCAGATCATTTAAAGCAAAACTGTTTATTAAAATCCTCAATGGAACCATAAAATATACCATATTTAAGAGGTGACCTTTGAACTGAGGTTAAATATATAGGTAGTACTATAAAGAGACATAAAGAGGGTGATGTGAAAAAGATGGGTTTCGATTTTAATAGAGCTGAACTTTATAGCAGATTGACGTCTTTACTTTCATTTCATTGTAATCGATGTGCTTCCGGTGCTCGAAAAAAAAAAACTAGAAACTATTGGAAACAAAATGATACAGTTTCTTTTCTAAAAAAATGTGTGTCATTTGTTTATTGATAATATACAATAACTGAATATGGTTTAAACATTGAAAATGCCTACCCCAAGTCAGGAATATGACAAATGTTTTCCATTCGTTCCATTGGTTGAAATAGTCTAACGTTTGATTTTGTCAGTTTTTATGTATTCCCCTTTTTAAAGTTAATTTTGTTTATACTTTTTTATATTGTACTCCAGACATCATTCAACCATACATTAATTTATTGTGCTTTAAGTGAGAAATAATATACCTTTCTTAAAGTTTACATTAAATCCTGTATAAATGAGTGGATTTAATGCACTATTTGAGTAAGACATACAACAGGCTGCAAAATTTAATCCATAATACCAATCTCCAAGCTGAAATTCAATAAACAAAATGTATAATTCACATATATAAATTCTATTAACGTTATCAACGTTTAGCCTAACAATTATTCTATTCATAAATCAAACTAAGATAAAAATGAATTAAAAATTGAAAATTAAACAAGAATACTTCTTTTATTTGTAGTAGAAATGAAACATAAGTGTAGCTCTACCTTCAAACCTGTAGAACTGTCACGGGCGGGTTAGATCGCTATAAAACCAGGTTTAATCCACTATTTTCAGGAATATAACAGTTATATTTCACTCGTTCCGTTGATTGATAACATTTGATTTTGTCAGTTTTTATGGACTTCCCCTTTTTGAATTTACCTTAAAGTTAGAAATGTTTGTGATACTTTTTTTCTTCTATTATGTAATCAGTTTAAAATGCACACATTATAATACCAAAGTTGTAATTTGAATTATTTCTCGGGATATTCGATGCACTGGTAGAATCGATATCAACCCCCCCCCCCCCCTCCCACTCCCCCCCCCAAAAAAAATATTGTTCCAAGTAAAAAAAATTTTTCTGCATTGACTAGAGGTATAGGGGTATGGGTTGAGATCTCACTAAACATGTTTAACCCCGCCGCATTTTTGCGCCTATCCCAAGTCAGGAGTCTCTGGCCTTTGTTAGTCTTGTATGATGTTTAATTTTAGTTCATTTATATGTTTTGGAGTTTAGTATGACGTTCATTTTCACTGAACTAGAACACATTATGTTTAGGGGCCAGCTGAAGCCCGCCTCCTTGTGCGGGACTTTCTCGCTGTGTTGAAGACCCTTTGGTGGCCTTCGGCTGTTTTCTGCTCTTTGGTCGGGTTGTTGTCTCTTTGACACATTCCCCATTTCCATTCTCAATTTTATTATCAAAGGGAAGCTTCACTTTCTTTCTTTCTTTCTTTCTAAGAAATAAGACCCACGCGTATCTTTTACGTTTGTAGATGTTATGAATTTGAATGCAAAAATAAACATATTCAATAAGGGGATGACTATTTAATTCTGAGGGGGGTCTGAAACATTTATTTTCTAATTAACTGAATAGCTATACAGTTAAACTGAAACCCTGCTGTTGAAGGACGTACTTTGACCTATAATTGTTTACTTTTTACATATTGTGACTTGGATGGAGAGTTGTCTCATTGGCACTCATACCATATCTTCTTAATTCTATTTACCAAAAATTAAACATATTCAATAAGGGGATGACTATTTAATTCTGAGGGGGTCTGAAACATTTATTTTCTAATTAACTAAATAGCTATACAGTTAAACTGAAACCCTGCTTTAGATCTTTACGTGGTAAGGATACAAACCTTTATTCTATTTGGCCTTAGTTCACTGTAGAGTAAAATGACTTGGTACGGTAACCAGCATACAACAAATACAATTAATATGGCAACTAACATCACAATAACCTGAAAGTACATATAATGCTATTAGAGTATCAAATATAGCTTCCAAAGATTGAAATAGCAGGCCTTACACATGTGTTACACTACAATGTCAAAACACAACCCACATTGTAATTAATAAAGAGTTACATAGTATAACGGGAAGGTTTGTGTGCACCTTATACTGGTTTAAAGCCACAACATGGTTTTTTATATTCTTTATTTTGTATTTCTCCATCTCATACAATACTTATATGCATTTTTTCTATTAAAGAAGAATACAATACATGTTTTATAATTATGACCTGTCAGTGTCAGCGCTTATATCATATAACACAAAAAAAAGAAAACCCAAAAAAACATTAACTTATATTCATATATGATTAAATTGATATTGATAGAATAAATTATTATTGACGCAACATACTTGTACTCATAAAACATATAGTGACATATTTTGTTGTTATTTTCTCTACAAATGTAGAAAAAATACATTATTTTTTACATAAATATATATTTCGATCAAAGATTGGGAATCTTATCAAAAATTATCTAAATTCCAATTATCATAACATAGTAACACATATTAAAGTCTTACATTTATATATATATATATATATATATATATATATATATATCTATAGGATGTACACTAACCACTATCCATTTGTGATGTGCATCGAGTTGTGTCACAATGTTGTCCTCGTACAAAAAGAGGCAGAATATACCAAGGGAAAGTCACGGATAAACGGACAACACCATGACCAAACTAAACGACAAAATAACGGACAACACCATGACCAAACTAAACGACAAAATAACGGACAACACCATGACCAAACTAAACGACAAAATAACGGACAACACCATGACCAAACTAAACGACAAAATAACGGACAACACCATGACCAAACTAAACGACAAAATAACGGACAACACCATCACCAAACTAAACGACAAAATAACGGACAACACCATCACCAAACTAAACGACAAAATAACGGACAACACCATCACCAAACTAAACGACAGTCTACAACACACTAGTACTGTAGAGAACACTCGAGACTAAGCAACTCGAGCCCCTGTAAAATGCGGGGTGACCTCAGATGCTTCGGAATGGAGGCATCTCCATCCTAACAGCGACACCCGCCGAGTCATGCTTGTCAAAATAAGTTTATGTTGTATCAGATGATTTTGAATCATATATTAACAGATAGGTTAATATATCTTGTCTAACACTAAGACATCACCAATTCATAAATCATGGACACGACATAACACACGAACCCTTCAATTTATATGTTAAGACAGGCTATCTGGATCATGTGTTCGGTGTTTGTCTTTATTGGTGAAGACAGGCTATCTGGACCATGTGTTCGGTGTTTGTCTTTATTGGTATGTATGTTTTATCGGAGGAGTCGGGTTTTGGCGGGAATTAGGTCTGTTCCAATGCGCACTGTTCATGCATTGTCAAATGAAGGTTTCCCAAACCCCATGCTTAGTGGAAAACTTAACTTTAATGTTTGCATCCTCTCGAAACCTAAAATGCAGTAGAATCTCCTTTGGGGCCTAATTCAGACAAATGTAGGCAGCGCTTTCCCTGACCTAGACTAACAAGGCTGTCATTCGTCCAATCATCTTGATGGAAATTTAACCAGTTTCGTGCTTGTTGTACTCCTATTGAAATTAACTGAAGCAGTGATCTTAATGTTTTCTTTTTATACAATAGCTATGTCACAGTAACGTATTTTTATTTCATATAATTCACCATCCCACGAAAAGCATTTTTGTATTAACTCTTTTCATTGAATTGGAGACATTGTGTCTCTCATCATTTGATGAAAATTAGATCCGATTGGCTTGAGCTATATTGTTAACGGAGATTAAGACGCGCAAAGCAATTTCTTACCACGAACAAAAGCCATTTCTAGCCTTCCTATTAATGATGTTTTCAATGGGTGGCATTGAATAAAACTTACAGACTATTATATTGTATGTGGTGAACCGTAAACAATCTCATCAAATGTCAATGTCCACAACAAGACTGAAGCTATTGTAAGTTTTATACCAATACCTAAAAGTATCTTTTGTTATTTTGATTCTCGTTTATTTTAAGAGAAGAAAACAGCAAACGAATTATTTTTACACGTAAATAACTATTTGTCGTTGATGAAATATTGGCAATGGAATAATTATAGCTGTATATATTCCTGTTTTTAAGTGGAAGCAAACGGGTTTACAAGATTGTTTCAAAATAGTGCCTTGTGAATTCAGGTTATCGGAATATTAAGTATTATAAGGAAATCGTTAAAAACAAATTCCTGGTAAAATGCGTATGTTATAGTAGCGGCTTTTGTTTTTGCCAGTTTAAATAACACAAAAGTATGGTTCTAATTCGATTCATGATAAGCAAGTTGATTGGTAATTAAATGGGGTATTTCTAAGTGCATATATGTGTTTCAAGAAAAAGATTCGGCGAGTATTATGTAAATCATGAAAGGTATATTCCTCAAAATCAATATTCGTCCCGAATCTTTGGTAATAGTTTTTTTTTATAAAACGTAACAAGAGTTTTGAGACCTAAAATGATTTTTTTTTCGTTTCGGTTCTAAAACGGTCATTGTGAAAGACTGGTATTGCAACAAATTCTTAACAAATATTCAATATCAACACCCCATTACTGGCTATCGGTACATCAGTTGCTATGAAGGTTATACAGATCAAAATGTACAGATCCTATTGCATTTGCCGTAGTGATACATGTAACCGATAACAAGGTGATACTTAGTGAGACATAAATGTTCAAATCGCCATAGATGGAACCATATGTTAGAAGCAACATGTCTCCCAGCATTCACAATCACTGTAAATTTACTTATGATAAACAAAACAGCAAATATAACTTTCCTTCTGCAATAAAATAAAACTTTATATTGACTTCATGTCGACCGTCATGAGAGTTTGATTGCGAATTTAAATCAGATAGTGTCAATTATTCAGCGTAAATGCAGTTGATTAAATCTCGGCGGAATGATTTCAGAAACGTGCAATTTCATTTACGAGCTAACTATATTAATTAGTCGCTTAGTCATAGGTCTTGAGTATTGTTTTAAAACTTAACTTAAACCAATAAAGGTTGTTGTTGGTAACAACTAAAGTTGTTTAGTGCAATTTATTTGAAGACTTTGTACAGGGGGTATTTTGATGGTCACTATCCAACTTGGCAAAGAAATAACGACTATCTAACGAGGGATCTGTACGTATAATCAACGGTCCTAATACAACGCTTCTGTTTCTTTTGCATTGTCGTTTCTGTTTGAAAAAAGGTTAACGTTAACTGTATTTCATTGCATATTACGTGTATGCTCGTGCTTGGTATAAAAATAAGGGAATACGCTTTGATTGTCAATAAGACAAATATCCACCAGAGTCTAAATTACGTGGATGTCATCAAATATAGGTCACTGTACGGCCTTCAACAATGAGCAAAACCCATACCGTATGTATATAAAAGGCCACTTTATGACAAAATGAGAAACAATTTAAACGTAATTATAAATAGTCTTGACAAAACAATTTTTTTTAAAGCTAGGTATGTTTATAACCTAGTAACTTTACCTCGATTCTTATCTACTTGAATGTATTTGTCAATGAAATGCTGTCAAGTAGATAACAGTATAATCCTGGTGATGTCTATATTAGTACATTGAAACTGAATCGGAGAGATAGAGAGTGAGAGTTGGAGTGAATCAGCTTAATCCTCCACAACACTAGTACTTGTAATGTGATCATCTTTTACATGTTCAAAGTTCAAACATTTTATGTTCATGCCATTAAGTCCTTCCTTCCAAGCAATTAAGTTGCTGGTTGTTGGAAAATATCCATATGCATATAATCATCCAATTTTTAGTTTTGGCGTAATTTTTTCCAAGACAGCGCATTATAATAACTATTGTCTTTTAATTACATCTTATGTGAAGCCAGCGGGCGTCATTTAGCTTTGCCGAAGCCATTTGATATTTGATATTTGCATTTCATGAAGATTTTCAAAGGTCGTCAAACGCTGTTAGATTTTTTGTTATTTGCAGAAAATGCTATGCACACTTATACACAGGAAATGACATTTGATATTAATTTGTTATAAATTGGTTATATGTAATTAAATTTTTCTATTTTGTTTACTTTCAGTATGTGTCTTGAATTAATCAGTGCATTTGGTCCACCTGACAAATGTGATATTTTGTAATGTAATGATTTCGCTTTATTTACGTTTGACGTTCGTCGTAACTTCTTTTCAAAGATACATGTATTCTCGAGCTCATTCTCTAAACAATATCTTTCAGAGGTTTACTTTAGACTTGGTATCTTCTGAGCATTGTAAAACCAACATGGCCGCTATTACTGAAATTGTCACGAACATTTTTTTTTTTAAGATAAGAAAAATTTAGTAAAGGGTAGGTCAACTTGTTCTGATTTTAAGGAATGTGTTTCTACGTTTTCATTCTTGTAGATTATAAATGCATTCGTCAAACTGAAATCACTCATAAAACAAGTCGTATTAATATAGTTCAATCCTTTTTCCTCGCGCAATACGCAGTTTGCATATACAGTTTACAACTGTCGCTTGAAAAAGTTTATTAGACCAATATGTATCCGCATATTTGAAAATAGTTTGTCTCATTATCAAATTGAGAAAAATGTTTTACAAATGACCATACTTATAATATATAGTTGCTGAAAGCTGCTTCATTTGGACTCTGTTGGAGATTGTCTGATGGGCAGACCACATCTCTTTATTTTATACATATCAAACAGATACTACAACTTAAATGTGTACTAAGGTTGGCGCCTGTTAAAACGTTTAAACCCGCTGCATTATATGCACCTGTCCTAAGTCAGGAGCCTGTTGTTCAGTGGTTGTCGTTTGTTGGTGTGGTTCATAGGTGTTTCTCGTTTTTTATATAGATTAGACCGTTGGTTTTCCTGTTTGAATTGTTTTACACTAGTCACTTTGGGGACCT